AAAAAGTAACTAAGTAATCAATTACTTTTGAAAATAAGTAATCAGTGAAGTAACGGGATTACTTTTTTGGGGAAGTAATCAGTAATTAGTTACTGATTACTTTTTTCAAGTAACTTGACCAACACTGATTGTGAGTCCTTGATACTGCAAGTCAAAAACAGTGTTTTAACCTCAACTGCTTTATTACAGTTGGACTTTTATGCTTCTTCTTATTTTCTGTCATATTTGTAGCGGTACGACAGTGGATGTTCAGGTTTCCGGAAATTAGGTCAGCGTGTGTAGCAGTAATCCAGATGAACCAAAAGCTCAGGTTTCACACTGCTTTAAACACGCGGTTTCACACAGTTTTTTCTAGTTAAAGAAACGAGAGCAGACACAGATATCTTGCTGTTCAGATTTTACGTTATTTAGAGGCAGGGACGCTGGCCTAAAGAGATTAAGAAGCGAGCTAAAACAGCTTGTTTCAGGTGAGAGTGGGCGTGCTTCAAGGCCCAGCATATGATAAACAAGGATTATTTTGAACTGTAACTCATGAAAAACTACTCTAGGAGAGTTCCAGCAATAAAAGTATGAAGCTGGAAATGAGAATTAAAGCAGTCTCTACCTTTCGTTTGTAGTGGCTAATGGAGGTGTCCATCTCCTCCTCATTGACGTTTTCAATCTGGGAGGTGGGGCTGCACAAGATGCCCTCCTCCTCCTGCTTGGCTAGTGACTCTGCTACCATCTGGATGGCCTCAGCCCACTCGTCCCTGTAGGAGATACGTGGAAACAACATCATAGATTAAACGTCAAAAGTCTATTTTCTAAATTTCTTAAAAAGATGGTTAAATTAAACTATATGCCTTCTGTATAGGAAAGGTTAAAGTTTTCATAACGTCACACTGTGCAAAGTATTCTTCTTTAGTTCGACAGCTTCCGGCTGCACATTTTTTTGTCAAGTTCTTAAGATTTGTAGTAGTAGTAGTATAAATTGTTAATTCAAACAGGTAATCTCTTGGAGACCGACTCCTCTTTTTCAAGAAGAATCTGTCTGCAGAAAAACGTAAAAAAAAAAAAACCCTGAGAAAAACAACTACATAATAATACTGTGATTAAATTCAATCAAGGATCAAAGGTAAGCATGCAATCTTTACAGCAGAGTCTTATAAATAAAAATTTGCTGGGGGCCTAAATATGAGATACAATGGTGAGTAAGAACAGAATCACTGGTGATGATCCTGATCTGTATGTTAATAATCCAAGTGGCACTCTGTCAATCTTTATAAATGTGGGCAATTGTTTTAAAATGCAATGTGAAAAAAATTACGAAACTCCGACTTCTTTTTCTTGCATCGTTTCGAGTCCTCAGCGTTCAGTTTAAGACATTTTCTTAAGATGTTTGTTACTTTTGTTTCTTGCCTTTTAAAACTTTTTAAGGAACCTTTTGGATATACTTGGTCAAAACAAACTGTTCTTCAGGGTCTCTCACAGCGATCCACCATCCTCAAAACCAACCAAATCTGTGATAAAACCACCCCCACTCATGTGTTTAGTTTAATGTTGTTAGTAACAAATCATTTCACATCAGGTATCACGTCTTTGTGTGTACATTTTTTTAGTGTTTACTTGCAAAACTTGACTTTCCATCTCAGTCCCACTCACTTCCTGACTGTCTTCTCATTGTGTTGATTGAATCCTGCTGTGTGTGTAAAGTAATTAGAATTTAATTCAACCATTTCCATAATCTGACCCACTCCTTTCATATTAGGTAATGACTCTCTTATCATTTTATTAAATATTATTTATTTTTCCTTCATAATATTTACACACAGTCAATGGAAGCCCACAATCAGTGTAAAATGTGTTCCACCGTTGAGTGTCTAATGAATTATTTACATTAAAAGAGCTGCAATGCATTTCCGTGTTCTCTGTCAAACATGCACACTGTTCTAAACGCTGCATTTCTTTCCTACTACTCTTGGCATTTTATGTCAGTGAGATAGGATATTGCTAACATGATTACTTCATCCGTAGCGGTATTTCTGTGAACACGGAAGCCTTACCGATCTGCCTTCGTAGATCTGTGTTTAATATCAAAGCCAATCAGGCGAAAATTGACTTAAAGAGAGAGATACTTGTTTCAGAAGGGGCCTCATAGTAAGAAGGTTCTGGATTCAAGCCTCTCAGGTTTAGATTGATTTGTGATGAATTTCCCTGCGAAGAATACAGACAGGGCAGCGCACCCTACATCTTGCCTTTGGTCAGCTAAACTTCAGCTCCGGCCTCACTGGAGACTTAAGAAGTTAAAAATATGAAAGAATGTATTGAGGCTCTATAACAAGTATCAAAAGGACATTATTTTTAACTATAAATCAGGCAAAGTTATTTAAACAAAATCTACGTAACTTCTGTAATATTTTTTCTCCTTTTCCTTAAGATGTATACCTTTCTTTTTTTATAGAAGGATCTTCTTTATTATCCAAGGCTGCTGTAATAGTGAAATATAGGAATTTGTAAGATGACAGCTCACCTCTCATCAGGAGTGTCAACATGAAAAGTTCTTTCGATGACTGTCGTCCACTGCAGACAGCGGATGATAAAGGTGTTTGGCTTTGGCCGCTCCGTCTTCATCAGCTGGCATTCTGACAGTCACACAGAGAGATGTGTTGAGTCGTACAAAGTTAGTGGTGTTTGAAACGTGCGATGATCCACTCATGGCTTACTTGCTACAGAGAAGTTGTTGAGTGGGTAGGCCAGGTCAGAGTCTTGTGGTTTGTCTTTGTAGCCGATGAAAGAGCCGTCTGTCTTCAGCAGAAAGTAGCGTGGTCGCCAATTCTTGATGTACTCTCCTGCAGGTTGGGAATAAAAGATAAAAATGGCACTAACAGCTCATATCCTGCTACTATCACGTCTTTTTAAACCTTTCATAAGTCTGTTCTGTAAAATAGAATTAAGTACCAGTGCCAGCTCCTAATCCACACATTACCACTAAGACCACTTTGGACTTTTATTTACTGGTGTTTTAATCATGAAGACCTCACACTAAACTAATGATTGCTGGGGAATGCTGTTCAAGTTCAGAAAGATCCAGAGATTACTCTTTCAACTAGGATTAAAAAGGTCTGCAAAGTCACAAACGAGTCATCACTTTAAAACCTAGTAATGTTTTATTTAGTGTTATTTTGTGTAATTTTTTGTTTTACTCTCATTTTAGCTTCACCCCCAAACGCCATATAACAATTTATGTGTTGCTTCCCTGCTATTCTGAGTCATCAATTTGTGACATAATTACAACAAATGCTGTAATTATGCTGCGCTGCATCCATGTTACTTGGGTACATGGGGCGATCGTTGGGAGTTCGCCTTGTAATCGGAAGGTTGCCGGTTCGAGCCCCGGCTTGAACAATCTCGGTCGTTGTGTCCTTGGGCAAGACACTTTACCCGTTGCCAACTGGTGGTGGTCAGAGGGTCCGGTGGCGCCAGTGTCCGGCAGCCTCGCCTCTGTCAGTGCGCCCCAGGGTGGCTGTGGCTACAATGTAGCTGCCATCACCAGTGTGTGAATGGGTGGATGACTGGATGTGTGAAGCGCTTTGGGGTCCTTAGTAGTAGTCCTAGTAAAGCTGTATCTATTTACCATGGATACATCCTATATATATTTATATCTTGATAAATTAGAGAGTCATACTAGCACTGTGATATCAATGATTAACATCTGAACCGCTTTACGGTCTATCAAACAAGTCAAACCCTGAAGAAACTATGACATGTGATGACTCACAAGGCTTCAGAAAAAAAAAACAGTCTTATGAGAAGGATAAAGGCTTCGGCATGAGACAGACACCAAATACCTCTGTCAGTAAGACAGCTGCCGCTGACAGCAGCTCTACTTTAAGGGTAAAGTAAGCAATTTTAATGAGGGTCATTTATTAGAAAAAACAAACTCGACATTGTCGCAATTACTTATTGTCAGCAGATTAAACGGGAAACCCTCCTGGCTCTAAGCAGCTGACAATTAGCTTGCTAAACATTAACAGCTAGTTATAGGCTAACATTATGCCAGCTAATGTAAACACGCGAGCTTCACTGAATCATGAATTAATATCTGAACGTTTTACAGCCTCATTCAGAGTAAACAAACATGGTGATGCAGCATATTGTCAGCTGAGGTAAACAGTAGACTGACAGCCTACATTCATTACAGATGAACGGTGGCAAGAACAGCTCTTTGTCCTAGAGTGGCCAGCATAGCTAGGATTGTGCACTTGAATTGGGAGGGAAAACAGATTGTTGTCATCAATCTGACAGCCATTGGTGAGATTTTACATACTGCACCTTTAAAGCTGGAGAAAGTTTTTTGAATGTATTTTTTGTCTCAACAGTCCACATCTCTGCTTAACAGAAACATGCTGTATGTCCAGATATTTGTACAGTGGAACAGTAGAACTACATTTTTTATATCAGTTGAGCCATTACTCATATAAATCTCTTCAAAATGTGTATATCTGGTCCTGCCCTACTTGACCTTTCAACCTGAATGATTTCCCATTAAGTTACAGTTTAAATCTATACCTGATCACATGAAACAACTTGCAGCTTCAGCTGGTCTTGCTTGGCCTCCCTCTTCCTTACTTCCAACTCATTTACAACTTCTTTAGTCCATCCTCTTTAAACAAGCTATTTAAGGTTCTCTTGTTTTAAGGTCACCCTATCTGTAAGCCCCCTTCCTTCTGATTAACAAAAAGGTTTAAAGGTTTAAACAACAGGTTGGTGGGACCTCTGTGCCAACAGTCAGAGCAATGTGACATCACTGAATCCAAAAGTAGACCCCCCCAAATAAAACCAAACAAACAAACAAGCAAAGAAATAAAAACACACGCACACAGCCTGAAGCCCAAGTCTTTGGCTCACAGGGATACATTGTAGAGACACTAAAGTCTTTTTTTTTTTATCTTCAGCAATGTTTAATATAAACTTCTACCTTTATAAGCAGCAGATATGAAAAAATGAAGGAGAGGATAACAGATCCCTTTTAACATCTGTCAAATTAGATTAGAAAATTTAACTGATATGTGAAACATTTTACTTGCATTCTGTGAAAACTAGCTATAGTGCAAAACTGTACTTCCTCTGCTTCATTTTAAACCAGCTATATGTAAAAATGTGTGTTCCCCACGCCCACTAATATGTAATGTGGAAACTGTGTCCAAACTTTCCTGAACTTAATGTGAACTCTTGAGTTTTGATGTTGAAACAACACAGAGAGCTTGTGAGGACAGCGTCCCTGAGACGGACATTAAGGCTGAATTATAAGAACACACAGAGGCGCAATAAACAATTCAGGGACTTGTGGGGGCCAGATAGGAAGGAACCAGAGTGTTAGGTCATCCTCTGTATGCTCATAGTGCCACTGAGAAACTTCCCCCTGCCTGCCTGCCAGCCAGCCAAAAGCCCTGAGCTCATACCAGACAAACCCACCTTCAGCAAACACAAACACACACACACACACTTACACAAACACAAAAACCAGTGTGGGAAATAAAACACACCAGCAAAGTGCAGTTCAGACTGGGCTGCAGCCCTGCAAAGCTTGCCTTCACTGCTCAATGTCTGGCAGGTAAACAACCATTGTTTGGAGGTTCTGTGCTTCAAACTGGCATGGCGGCTCAGGCCATGTCCACACATAGCTGGATAAAAACAAATCTATTATGACTGAAGCCGGTGTGTTGAAAAGCACAAGCGGTGTCTTTTTAAGCCCTCTTAGCAGTGAACTGATCTTAAAAATAAATTAATAATAATAATCATTGGTTTATACGTTTACTAAGTAAAACAGCCAGAAGCAAAGTGAGCAACTACTCAACAAGACAATTAGGACTTTTTTCAAGTGCAACAACAGTTGCTGTTGGTTCTAAGATCTTACTCTACCTC